TGCCTCCTGTACTGGCGACCCCACTCCCAAAAATAACAATTGTAAACCGCTTTGAGACTCCGATGTGCAGTGAAAAGGTGGTATATAAAGAAAAGATTACTTACTTACTTTGAATTGCCTTGTGTATGAATTGTGCTATATAAATAAACTTGCCTTGCCTACTTTGTTATCACACTGCATGAATAGTTGAGAAAAGGTCAGTAACCTGCTCATATTTTCAGCGGGCAGAATGTGAGATCTGTGAGTCTTGTGTCCAGACTCACAGATGTGACCGGCATAATTATTTTTTTCCTATTCCTCATGGACTCGCTGGGTCAAAATCAATGGCTGAGTCAATAATCGCTTGGACCATTGGTGAGAAACAGGCTGTCTGACAGGGACAATATTAGATGAGAAGATTCAAACGCACATTTGGAGCGACACGCTTCTGCAGTGGATCGCTTCTGCGTATAATTGTACAGACTGAAATGGAATGGTGTCTGCTTTCAGGAACACGGGTGGAATGAAGCAAGAATTTTGTCTTAGTTTAATGCTTGTGTAATCAGCTCAAATATTCCTTTTTAATACAATACAGCTCAAATAGTAATATTGTAGGTATTTGAACAGACAAAAACTATTTTTACTCGGCACATTAACAGCTCATGTATCCCTTTTGTTACATTTACAATAGAAATTGATCAAAGACTGAAGATAGAAATGTGCTCTCATCATGACATTGGACCGGTCTGTCCAGAAATGTAGATGTTTGGAGAACATATTGATTTTATTATTGATTATTAAGGAAGTAACTAAAAGCCCTGGTACTTTACTTACAAACTGTTTAACTGCAGTATTTCAATCTCTAAACTAGTTTGGTTGTAGTTTTCACAAGCATTTATTTTTGGCACATCTTCAGTTCTGCCATTTCAGAGTGAAAAGTGACCACCCTCGCTCAGCCAGCAGCTCGTTGTATCATCTGCAGAAGATCTCTGCACTCTGCATCAAGAAGGTTTAATGACATTAAACAGAATACATCAGTCGAATGTAGCCTAAACGTAAGCCCGGGTGGATAATGAATGAAGATAATGGCAGAAAGACAAGGTTTCAAAGGCAATGTTTCCCTTAGCAGCGATGGCATAAATGAAAATCAGTCCAAACATGTATTTGTAACTGTACATCACTGGGTCTCAGCCACAGACCTTGAGGCCCCTTGTGGAAGATGCGTTCAAGTGCAAGGTATTTCAAAACGAAAATGCAGATGTGGTAATTTAACATTGGCCTCATAATAATGTCCCAGAATACATTCAAATGCATGTAATTGTGATGGGACACAAGTTGGGGGGTTTTTATATTTGATGCATGCAGTGTTTTTATACTGTTATGGATTTTAACTGCATGTTATTTATGACTTTTATTGTTTGCTGTGATTTTGACTGCATGCTTTTAGACTGTTTTAACTGGTTGCCCTCCCAAATGCACGTCACCCCTCATCAGCACAAACATGGACACCTGCAGGTGCAATCAGACTGGCCAACATAAAGCACCTGCGGAGCACGGAGAGCGAGAGACAGGAGGGAGCCGCAGAGCGGAAGAGCCTCGCGGGCTGACGGCCGGTGGCCAGAAGTTGGAAACGCGCGCATACACGTGGAGACGCATGGCACATGGGAGGACTGACCTGGAGCAGCCAGCCGAGAGCAGAGCAGAGCAGAACAGAACAGAACAGCAGAACCCGCGAGCCCCTGGGAAGAACACCACGAGGTCTACGACACGCCGGGGCAGAGGAAACTACGCCCTGTAGTGGTGTTCGAACAGCCTTTCGGGTTGTAGGGGTCGCAGGTGTGTGAGCTGGGCACTGCTGCTGTTTCTGTCTCAGGAGAGGGCTGCTGTGGAGCGGGTCGAGCAGAGGCACGTGGGAGTCGGAAAGATACCCTACGGGACTACAGCAAAGGCAAGGGAAACCCTGCCTGGCCTGTAAGTTTTTAGACGACCCTGACTGTTATCGTTCCTTTTGGCCACGGCCTGCCAGTGTATGTTTTGTGTCCAGGAACAGCCACATCAGAGAGGCCTCCCCAAACGTGACGCGCCGTGCCTCGACGGGGATTTCCTATTATTTTTATTGTTGCATTATTTTTACAATCTGGATTTTAACATAGGGTAGGGCGACAGTAGCTCAGTTGGTAGAACATTGGCCTTTAGGCCTGAAGGTCGTGGGTTCAATTCCCACCTCTACACCTTCTCCACCGACTCCCACTGATGACTGCTGTCGTTGTGTCCTTGGGCAAGACACTTAACCCCACTTTGCCCAAAGCCCCAACTGAAAGATCAAGGCTATGCTCACTCTCAGAGAGCAGCCGTCCTCCTGTGGACTCACCACCTGCAGAGGGTCAGTGAGGGGCTGGTGCTATGAGACTTGGGTGGCATCTCTGATTGCCACCCCCCTGACCCAGAAATGGATTAAAGGGTAGAAAATGGATGGATGGATGGATGGATTTTAACATTGGTTTTAATTTATTGTAATTTTATTTTCAGTTTGCTCTGCCCTTTTTCGGTCACACCACTGCTCTGCCATAGCTGTTTTAATTCGGTCCATCATTCCCTCTTGCCTCCAATAACCAAACCCCCCCCATTACATAATCACACAATACAGCAAGCTCTCATCCCAAAATAGCAAACAGCGGCTGACACGGATCTTTCTCATAAGTGTTCAACAGTTAATGTCTTTAGAATGTGAATGTGTGGGCTTCCTTGTTCACAATATTTACCTTTTGCATAAATCCTTTTTTTTTTTTTTTTTCAGCCAAAAAAATTATAAACAGGCACCGGATGCATTTGGTGTTTTATGGAGATTATGAAAATGTTAATAGAAAAATTATTTAAATACTAAACATGTGGATTCTACAACAAATGTATTGAACCGGTTGTCATTGTGTATGCTTTTTGCGACTGTTTTAATTCCACATTTTTCTCATCAGACTACTCAGACCCTCTCAACCCAACAGTTCAGACAGATGCTTTAGAGACCGTCAGGATGCAGGTGAAGCAGCGGAGGGGGAACTTTCTCAGTGCAGCACGCAAACTTAGCTTTAAAACGGGCAACGTTTCTAAGAATAGCGTGTCAAGCAGACGGACCTCATGCAGGGAGACAGATTTTGCGAAGTAAGGTAGAGCAGAGTCCGGTTCACTGCTGAGAATAACCACACAAAAAAATGTATTAATCTCTGTGGGTCAGGAGAAAAAGCTTTAAACACATTTTCTGAACAAAATTGGAGAAGAAAATAGAATGTATGTTGTTCTGTCGACGAGAGACAATTCTGGTTATAGTTGTAGATTTGCTTTACAGCTGCAAAGTCACTGGGAACTCAGAGATTAGTCTTAATGACTTGGCTGGGATCATGCAAAATGATAAAATAGATTCACATTTACCACTCACCGATGAAAAACCACTGTGCCGCATTGCACCCGTTTAGCTTTCTACTTTATTCTCTACTTCACCATCCATACTGCTCAAGCTAATATATTAAATTCCCTTTGAGCTTGAAATAGCTTTGTAATATGAAGAAATGTACAGCCTGCAGGTAAGCTTAGGCCCAGTCATTTTTAACCTGGACTCTCCCATGGCACTCATTGAGCATCATCATATAACTGCCCTTAGCGCACGTAACGAAGTCTCAGTGCAATCCAGATTATTATGAATACAACATTATGAACTGAGCATGAACCATGCAGAGCTCTCATGTGGCCAGTCACCTTCTGACAGGTGAGTGTTTGTAGTCACACACATGCCACTGATGGAGCCTAATGCATTAATGAAAGCTGCTCTGCCATTTAATAGTTTGATGTGCGTTTGAACAAATGCAACACGACAGTCTTTTCACTGTCTGGTCTCCACAGCCCCATGCAGATATGTAAGGAGACATCACATATCCCCCCTGGCAAAGTCTTTCACATATTTAGACAGCAGCATTACTTTTTATAACCTTTTAGATGCCAGAGTAGCAGTAGCAGTGCCTGAGTTTTTATTTTCATATTGTCTGTTTAACATTGCATTTGCTCAATTATATACAACACACGCCGATACACTTCTATTATCTGTCATCCATGTATCAACCTCTATGAAAATATGAAATTCTATATTTTATCATGAAATGTCTCCATAAAATGTTTCTATACTAATGATTAACCATCAAGTGTTAAGTGTTCTTTTATTAATCATTAGGTGTTTGCATAAAAGGCCGTTTGTATTTGGTGTTAGTCTGAGTCTAGTAAGTTTAGGGTAGATTCAAGGACAAGCTTGGGTTCTGTGATATACTATCCTTTTAGGAACAAAGTATCATCTCTTCTCATCGGGACAAGGGATGAGACCCAAACCAAACCAGACCAGACCAGACCCGAGAGACTGATAAGGAGCCAGGTGACGTCTTCGGAGGCACTTCCTCTTCTTCTAGACATTTTCATAAAACTGATAGGACAATTATAGTCAATCAGAGTGTGGCGGGAGCCGTGGTAGAACAATGAAAATTCAGCAACGCCACCCAGGGTAATGGCCCTGGGACCGCACGGTTTTGATTTAATCTTTTTGCTTTCAGAAGGCCGCACTAGGTTAGGACAATAAAGGAGGTGAATTTTTATTACAAAGATGAGTTTATTTAATAAATACAGAAGTTGAAATAGGCCTAATATTATTTTAAAATGGTCAACAACCGTCATACAGTACACCTTTAACAATAAACAATGTACCCAGTGCTACTTGAGTAGTGGGGGACAGCACCTTTAAATAAACAAATCAAATAGCTTGTGAAAATAGGCAAACATCACAACAGAAGCAAAAATAAAATAAGACACAGCAAATCATGCACAATAAGGTAAATACACAGAAAACAGGCAAAGGAAAATAACGTGCAAGCGACAAAAACAAACAAGCATGCAGGAGCAGACATGCGGATAAACTACCCTGATTCCCTGTAGTCTTTGCCTACAAAAAAAAACCAATGTTAAATTGTTCGGTGCGAGTCCACCCCCACCTATGCACGCACTAAGCACGCGCTGAAGCAGCCCAGGGGTGCGGAATGGGACTGGAGCGCTTCTTTTACGCACGAGAGAATGTGGACAACACAGAGGGACAAAACAACGGCCTCCTTTAACAGGAGGTGGCGGCTCCAACGTGGGCCACGCACGCTGTGCGCCTCGTGCCTAGAAAGTAAACACGAGCGTAAACTACCAACTAAGGATTAGCCCTGCAGTGGTAAAGCTTTGGACCTCTTTCCTGCCGGTGACAGTGCGCGCACCCGCAGGCAACAAGAGGAGGGGGAGAGACGTGGGGGAATCACGGCAAAGTCCCACAACAGGCCCAGACCTAAGGAAAATTTGATGTCAGCCCGGGCCAAGCCCAAAATTCAGCGAGACAATGGACGCACTTACCCAGAGAAGGGCCTGGAGCGCACGACGCGTGCACCACGCACGCACTCCCAAGGAGAAGGAGGAAGACCACGCGAGCCAGGCCAGACCGTAGTCCTGGACCTAAGACAACCAACATTAAGAAAGGCTGGCACACAGCGTGCACCAGAAGAGGCTTGTTAAAACCAACCTGGATGATAATGCGTAGAAGCGCAGGGCTCGGAAAGTTAAGGCCCGAACCAGGTGTTGCGGGAGACCACAGCACGCCGCCACCACAATGCCCACTCAAGCTGGTGTGTGTATGAGCGCGCGCCGTGCGCGTAACCGGCTTTCAACGCTACGTCGGTGCCACCCACAATCCATCTTAAAAGGCAGCCTACACCAACCTGCCACAAGAGCACCTCCTCTCATTTTTAGGCCTGGAGGAATAGTTAAAAACTATATAACTTAATTCTCCTCTGTTCTCATACTTGTTAATTTTTTAAAGTGTTAAAGATAAAATATAGATTTTTCAAATTTGCATGGGGCGGTGCAAACCAGACACAGTTTTGCTGTTCATCCCGTTCATTTGCATTTTGTTTAACACATCTCCACCTGCCTCTATGTTTGGGTGCCTAATGTTATAAATAAACTTTGCTTTTGAATCTGAACGTCCACATCACAGTCCAGCCCCACGCCACTCCACTCCACCTTCCCCCTGTTTCCTCTGTCTGGCCTTGGCTCTCCTGACACCTGCGACTCCTTTATCAGAGAAGCAGCTCTGTAGCCACTCAGAGAGAGAGAGAGAAGAGAGAGAGGCATGGAGAGAGAGACAGAAGGAGAAAGAGAGAGGGAGGAAAAGAGAGACACACACAGAGAACACAGAGAGGGAGAGAAGAGAGATAGGCAGGAGAGAGAGACAGAAGGAGAAAGAGAGAGGGAGGAAAAGAGAGACACAGAGGGAGAAAGAGAGAGAGGAAGAGAGACACACACACACACACACACACACACAGAAAGAGAGTGAGGGAGACGGGAGACATTAGCCAGTTTATTTGTCGACAAACCAGATCCAGCCTGCCTGCTCATCTGCCTGCCCAAAATGATAAATTCACATATTTTTGTTCAATACAACTTTAACTTTGACCAAACGGGTCTGCTCATTGTCCAAATACACCTGTGACAAGTATCTGACTGCGGTGTTGAAATGCAAGCTTTTGTGGCTTTCATGAGCTTTTTGAAAGAATAGCAAGTAGCGATGTGAATTCCAACCATTTTATCAATCATCCAAATCACCAAAAGACCCATTTTCTATTGTTAATCTGGAGGAAAATTACATCTCTCAAATTCCACACAGTAATATGAAGATATGATCATCAGTAATTCCACCCATGAGAAGAAAAGACAAAAATAAAAAAATCTTTCATTCTCACAGAAAAGTTAAAATTTTGACATGAAAAAGACTGAATCATTTTTGACCATCATTGTGATATATCTATACTATAAATTATGTATTTATGCAGCAGGAAAATGGTCATTTAGAGTTATAGTATAAAAAGAGGAGTCTATATAAATTATCAAAAGCTTGGAGTGGACAAGATGGCTTTGAAGATGCATATTGAAAATAAAATGTGTTTATTGATTACTTGTAGTTTTTTACATTTGTTTAATTACATAGTAAGTAAGTAAGTAATGCTTATTTATATAGCACATTTTTACTGACCAAGGTTTAACAATGTTCAGATATTTTTCCAGTCTCTCCACAAACCGGAAGCGAGACGCAAAACTCACTGGCACATCAAAGGCCCCAACCAACACCATCCATTCACTCACTCACTCCTTACATTTATACATATTGTGCATGTTTTTAGTGGTAGAGGAAACCGGAGCACCTGGAGAAAACCTTCGCAGTCACAGGGAGAACATGCAAACTCCACGCAGAAAGGCCCTGTTCCAATCTGGATTCAAACTAAGGACATTGTCGCCGTAACATAGGTAATTATGCGTTGATAAATAATAACTTAAATGAAGTCACTCCCTGTCAAATAAGAAATGTTCTTTGTTTCTACATTTTCTAAAAGAGAAACAGCATCACATGATTGTAAACAGATTCCCAATCAATCCATAACGGTCAATTATTATGATCAAAATTCAACCATAATTTTGACAGAAATGGTCATACATAAATGGAAGCCACATGGACCCAACTTAAGGAATTGATACGTTCTTCTTTTCACCTAGAATGCAAATAGGCCCATCACATATGTACAGGTTAAAACAAAATTAAATATCCTTTTTTGACAAGGTTGGAGAATTAATGATCATTTTCATTTTGTACCCTCCATCAAGCTGGTCTCGAGCAGTTGAGCAGGATTTTAACATGTCTTCTAACATTCTCCCAACTATAATTCAGGCAGGCTCTATTTCCCAAAAGAAATTCCTTCACATCCACCTGAATGAGAAAATCTATTTCTCCAGGGACAGATGTTTCACTTTGATTCACTCATGTAGCCCATCTCATCACCGATAAAGTCTATCTGCCCAGAGCTTTGGATATTTGATGTCAGAGCAGACAAGTTACATTTCATTCTTGTCTTAACATGTTCATAATGCTAATAGAAATGAGGCCAAAGAACCAAATATACGTTTAGGTAATATTACACTTTTAGCTTCTCTATAATTGTATGACACTAAGATGAGCTGTATACATACGTAGATTATTGGATACATTTAGCAGATAAGATTTATTTTAAAAAAATACTTTTGACTTGGAATGCATTTCTGCAAATGACAAATAAAAAAAAAAACTAAATAAATATAGAGATCTTACTTACTAATTGAACAATTATGAAAACCTCTTTTATCAATTGTTGAGTTAATATGTACAATCACAGACATGTTCAATCTTGGATTTGTTACAGACAATTGTGAAATGAAAACAAAATGAATCATGGTTTCATAATATATAAAAAATTGTCCACTCACCTTTGGCCCTCCGCGGGCGGTTATCCCTCTCTAAGCTCGGGTCCTCTACCAGAGGCCTGGGAGCTTGAGGGTTCTGCGCAGTATCTTTGCTGTTCCTAGCACTGCACATTTCTGGACCGAGATGTCCGAGGTTGTTCCGGGGATCCGCTGTAACCACTCATCTAGCTTCGGGGTCACTGCCCCGAGTGCACAGATCACAACGGGCACTACTGTCACCTTTACCCTCCAGGCCCTCTCCAGCTCCTCTCTGAGACCTTGGTATTTCTCAAGCTTTTCATGTTCTTTTTTCCGGATGTTACCATCGCTATATATATATATGTATGTATGTGTATGTGTATATTCCCACCTCTGCATATTCCCACCTCTGCACCTTCTCCACTGACTCCCACTGATGGCTGCTGTCGTTGTGTCCTTGGGCAAGACACTTAACCCCACTTTGCCCAAAGCCCCCACTGAAGGATCAAGGCTATACTCACACTCAGAGAGCAGCCGTCCTCCTGTGGACTCACCACCTGCAGAGGATCAGTGAGGGGCTGGTGCTATGAGACTTGGGTGGCATCTCTGATTGCCACCCCCCTGACCCAGAAATGGATTAAAGGGTAGAAAATGTATGGATGGATGGATGTATGTGTATATATGTATGTATATATAATAATAATGCAACAAATACACCTCAAGCTTCTTAATGACACATTCTCTACTCCATTATTATCATTGATTGTCTTCACAAGAAATTATTCAGTAAGTAGTTATTCAACTACATTATTCAACTAAAGTTGAAATGGTCTTTCTTCTCGTAAGTTGCATTCAAGTACAATGTTCTGGTTTCACTGCCCTGAGCTCTGCGAGTCGAAGTAAAGGTTTGTTATCATGAGGAACAATGATGCTCTGGTTTTCTCATTGTTTTGTGACTCAATAATTGAGAAATGTGATTTTGATCCTCATTATCTGACTGTATTGGCCGCATTCTCTTACATTGTTTATCATAGCAGGGCTGCCTCTGAATGCCCTCTTGCTAAATATGACAAATGAGGCAAACTCAAGGAGAGACACTCTGGGTAAAGGTTAATGCAGCAGCAGCTACAGACTGAAAGTAACGTGGTCTACTGTGTACATTGCAGCGTCTGTAAGCTCACCACTGTGAACTGTGCTGCCAGAGGAGGGGCTGTGGAGCTCCATCGAAGTGCATTCTGACCGCATACTGCAGCCTTTTTCATTTGTTTAATTGTAGAATTTCTCATGAGTGTGGCTTCAAAGCACTGTAGCCGCTAGAGACGGAGCAGGTGGTGTGAGTCACAAAACATGGAGAAATTATACATTTTTATTAGGCTATGGTCAAACTTAGGCTGTTTATTTTGTTTCGTTTTTGACTTTGGATTTGTTTTATTATTACGTTTTATATAATAACAAGTTTTAAATTTTATTCTTAAAACTGTGAGAAAAAATAGGACAACTAAAAAGTTCTCAACCTGCTTCACCCAAATGGTGTCTTTTTTTTCTGTTCAAGTTAGAGGAAAATTCTACTCCTTTGTCCGTCCAAACAAAAACTATCGCAGCGTCTACGTCTAAACGGGGCCTGAGTCTAGTGTGTGCTTGGATGGTGGGTAGTCTGAAGGGCCGCTGGCAGATGCTGGTTGCCTCTCTTCTGTCAGTGTGCCCCAGGACAGCTGTTGATAAAGTGCTACTTTATCAACACTGTGTATGGAGTAAATGCGTAATGACACGTAAAGCATCTTTGAGTGTCCAGAAAAGTGCGATATAAAACCAATGCATTATTATTATTAATGTTAATATTTATACATATCAAGTCTAGTCATCAAGATACACAATTAAAAGCACACCGACAGATTTCCATTGTCTTTCAAGTAAAAATGATCGGAAAGCATTGAAAGAACCTGATTCAGTTAGTTTGGAATCTATTTGAAGAGGGTTCCAAGGAGCAGACAGGAGTGACTCGTGAAACTCTGGAGCAGGGAAGACAAATGACAGAACCAGGCCAAGAAGAGCTTTGGAAACCAAAAGTATCCGGGAGGTACACCATCTTGTTGTTAGTGAAGGCCACTGAGATGACACAAACATCCAACCTTTACATAACAAGTGTGATGTAGGATTTTTTTTCTGAATCACTTTTTTTGAAAGTCACCCCTAAATTGTAAAAAAATCAGTTTGTTTCCCTTGCGTTATTATTCCAGGAATCTTCTCTGGAATGAGAAGACAGTGTCATATATTTACTTTTGTAAGCATTGAAGATATTTAGGATAGATTTTCAGTGAATGCAGATGAGATTTAACAACGGTAAAACCACTCAAACTTGTTGCAAGCAAAGACTGCAGGAGTTGATCAAGACATTTGAATTCATCAGCTCCGTTTGACAAGACAGTCAGCAAATAAATGAACGGCTTTGCCATTTTTACCCAACATTTTGATAAGATCATTTATAGGATCATCTATGTTCCAGGTAATTGAGAGATTGCTTTATTCATGGCAGAACAGATACATGTTTTTCAAAGTTGGCATGAGCAAATCCCATCAGCCTCAAGTTTATTTATTTGCTTTAGCCAAGAGCACTGCTCCAAGAGATATTTTTCTTCTTGTGAAAACCAAAGGTTATTCCTCCTTTTCATCCAAATGTACAGCTGTGTATGTTTATTTATTAATCTTTGAGCAGCCGCTTATCCCCACAGATGCTGCTGACTGTGCCTCTTGCCTACACTGCTTTTGTTTATGTGTCACTGGCTGTTCTTCTGTTCATTCCCTGGAGATACCAATGTTAAATTGCTTTTTGGTTCACAAGCTACATTAGAACTTGTAATGGACTTTGCCTGGGCAGAGTTGTCAGATGGCATATTGATTATGCCCAATGGGCACAGCTAAAGTTTCTTCTCACCTCTGAATAATTCATGACTCTTTTACAATTACTCTCCTAATTGGAACAATGTTTGGACTCGAACTACTTAGACTGAACCAAATAAGTTATGTTGTCTTAGTCTGCTTTGTCGTTTTTTACATTTGTGAATAGTAATGAGATTGTTTTACATACAGCATAATTATGTTATAAAGATAAGTAATATTGGCTAAAAGGCAAACAAAGTTTCAGACAGATCACGCCTTTTAGTTTTAATTAAAAATCACAGACAGCTTAATTGCTTTGCAGTTGTGCTCTACTGGCTCGTGATTGCTTCAGAAGTGAAAGCTCGATTGTATGGAGTACTGCAACAAATATTGCTCCCTTGCCCCAAATGCCCCATGTGTGGCCGTTACAAAGCTTACCCAAAGTGGGTGATAAAGTCCTCCAGACAAAGATACTTCAAATGCAAAAAACGGCTGCAACAAAATGTGACTTTATCCGTCAGTGCACCCTGAGTCAAAAGCTTTCCACTTATGTTCCTGTATTTGCATCTTATAAAGTTGACCACTTTAGAAATGTACTGCAGTAGAATTATGTATTTCTGCATTGATAAAACTGATCTGTAATTCAGTGCGGGTTCTTAACAATATGTAAGATGCCATACATATTTATGAAATCCCCAGCCACTGGCTCACATTTAGCTGATTGTGCAATTCCACATGCGGTCGGCTTTGGTCACAATCCATCATTATGTCTGAAGGAAAGTCTCCCAGCCCAGCACCATGTTTCCTAACATTGAAAGTCACTCAAGTACCACTCAAAATTTAATTTGTAGGGGGCGCTATTTTACAACATAAATGCCACCATTTGCACATACAATGTCCAATTTGCACAAAATTTGAATTGATTGTTCAACTCTCGTGTTTGGGTAAACTGAAAGTGTAAAAGACGAAATTGCAGCAATAGCGCCCCCTACAGACTGAGTCAAGTATTACATGGGGAGAATTAGGTTTACCTTTTCAAAGACACACACAATCACTGATCACAGGAATTCAAAATGCACAGTGTCGCTCCCGTCAGGGCGGCAGGAAAATGGCGCGTCAGCGCCACCTCGGTTGCGTTGTGCGGCGAGGGCCGTTTGACGCCGCTTACGGCTTTAATTATTATTACTATTGTTAGCTTTTTAGAATGATCAATTTATTTCTTTTGCTTGTGTAGATCGATGTGATTTTGCTGCTACTGGACACCTGAATTTCTCCTACGGGGATCAATAAAGTGTCTATCTATCTCAATTGGATGGCTAATATTTGCTGTTGCCTTTGCTCTATTTTCAGCACGAAAGAAGAGCTGGCAAACTGCAGCTTTGCACTTTTCACATGTTTGGTTTGAAGGTATATTGGAGGATTTCCTTTTTCCGGGTGGATTGTCAAGACTATTGGTTCTCCTATTTTATTTTATTAGTTTAGTTGACAGGGACATTGTGCATTAATAAAACATTTCTGGAAATGCAACAGAATTAGCCAAGCAGGCTATTTTTCATCTGCAGTCCCTGGACAGGTATACATAGTATCCCTAAAGATAAAAGTCAATCAAGTCAAACAAGACCAGAACGTTTTTGGGAAAAGCTCCAGAATGCACTGTATGGGGACCCAGCTTCGATCACTGTGTGGGGTGAGGGATAAAACATTCAAACATTTTTCTTAAAACATAATGAGGTTCACTTGATTATTTTAAGAAGAAATGCACGCCCGCAATGAACCTGTCAGATCCTTTGAATTGTCATTGTGAAGAGGAAACACCACACAACGAGCATAGAGAAATACAAAGAATCCTTAGTCCAACAAATGTTTCTTTTTGCCTTTTTTGCAAAGTAACCAGGAATCACAACTTGGATGTCCAGAATCAGGAGACAGGCAAGCCTTTCTGCTCTAAAATGGCTTCAATTTGTCAAACAATATTGGTTGCTTTCTGAGAGAAAAAGGATGTTTTATGCAAGCAATGTCCTTTATCTGATTCATTCTCATACAAAAAAAAAACGTCTGTAAGCTTTGTTGTCAACACTCTATTCTCACCAACAGAATAAACTTTAATCACTTCACAGACACAAAATTGTTAGCAAATTTCATCCATTTTGAAGTTCTCTTAGATGGGTGCCATGGTAAGTGCTTCTTCAGTGGTTCTGATCTCACTGCTCTCAAACTGTTACTGTGAGCAATGCATAAGGCAATGTCATGTATTTAAATTAAGCTAAAATTAAACTTCAGCTAAAATTCATTTTTATTTTGAAAAGGAAAAACTATAATCAGAAAATGACTTGTTGGTAGGAATTGTGTAAAGACTCTCCAGACTGCACATTGCAAGGTTCATGTGAGTTACAGATTGATGTGTATGGATTTTATGAGTCGATGGACAATTGAAATGGCAAATTCTAAAGGACAACTGATGAGAAATTAAGGCTGTTGGTAAACATTAGGTTGAGGCTAACTTACTTATACTAGTTACTTATACTTATACTATACTATTTTTCATGTTTATTTCTTAATGCCACTGGATATTTATGGAAAAAAGGTTTATTTAAGAGAAGGAGAGAGGTGTTTGGTAGGTTTTTTTTCTGTGAAAAAAAAAAGGTTTAGTTATCTCTAGACCAACAAAATATGTGCTGTGCATTTTACTGCAGATCAATAAAGACCTACACTGTACGAACCACCTCCAACGTAACAGCACAGAGCGGAGATTTATAAATATTCTCCAGATTCACGATTAGCTGTAACAGCCTCCTAACCTGAATATGTCATCCTCAGTCTCTTTGCTCTATTGGATAGTCCAACAACCAAGAGCAACGTGACAAACACAGTGCATTCCCACACTCCTCATTTCAGTGTAATTCATCTATAATTAAACCATCTTAGGCATATTAGCTAATATAGTAGCTGTCGAAATGAGTCATTGATGAAGTTCGGTTTGTTTTAATCAGCTTGTATATGATATGGCTGTATTATGAAACTGCTTGGCAAGAATGAAGATTTATTTTTCTGAGCATGCGCACTGATAACCAGGAAGGCATATGATGAGGTACATTTATCAGAATGATCTACAGTAGCAAGTGTGTTTTCTGGAATCCAGCCCAAATCTCAGGCAAGGTGTTGGCCAGGTGTTGTGCAGTGTTCTCTTTGGGGTCTCGGCGCACAGAAAACTCTGCCCTGTGCACAACATAAAAATCCAGCCAGTTAGACGTGATTCATGGATGATCATAGATGATCATCGTGATTGACAGCGTCTTGTGCCACTGGCAAAATGATACGACCACATATTACTACAGTGTATAGACTGCGGTGGAGCTGCGCACGCAGGT